GGGGTCCACGAAGCTGCAAACACGGTGAATAATTATCCAGAGGTTACATCGGACGCACTCACTTCAGACTCTTCGAGAATAAACCTCGATGTCGACGGACTGTGCCGGTCCAGCAAACGTTGATTTCCAACATCAGCGCGATCTCGATATCTGGCCGCTTGCTAAGAAGCCAAGTCCATGCCTCCACGCCTATTGCTATGGAGACTGGTGTAAAGGTCTCGAACGGGAGGGCCACAAGGTGATGCAGAAGTTCGTGGTCTCGCTACAAATCGGACTATAAGCGACAAACTCATAAGCTATCAGTGGTGCGAGTTAGTTACCTCTGGGTTGGATATTAGCACGGATGCGCATCTAAATAACAGTCTCTTGAGGTCATGGATGCTGAGGTTGCTGGTCTTGTCGTGTATTTCGGTGAGGGCGGTTGCCAACTTGTGCTTGAGGGCCTTGAGCTCCAGGAATGGTGCATGTGTCGGAGGTAGGCGTTGGAGCTCGTCCCCTACTGTGAAAAGATAAGGTTGTCAGCCAGGTGCATTAAGAAGGTACATGTCGCAGGGGCTCACCTGAGCGATTCGCCAGTCGGATACCTCCTGCCTCGCCTTCAAAGTGACTCTTAGTTGCTACCTGTTCCGCGAAGAGCTTCGAATGATCTGGTCTCCAGGCAAAGGCCCCGGACGTTGGCGCTAGTAATTTTCTCCCGTTGGCCCCAGGTCAGAGTGAGGAAGAAAACAATGTTTACCTGAATGTCTCTCGTCAGGTCCGAGGGATATAGCATATTTGAGGGCGATTGAGGCTCCTAGCTCCATAGTCCCCGGCAGGACAATCGAATCGTATTGTGCAACGTAGCTCTATCCCATAGCGATAAAAGGTGAGCGCAGCTCAAACAAATTTCTCCAACAAGCTTATCATGCTTTACCTGTAAGATGGCCTGGACCTCATACGGCGCGCGTGAAACTGCAAGATGTAACCAGGTATCGACGTTCTTCTGTAAAGTCGCAGCGATATCGTTCCGGACGCCATAGTTGTCAGTGAGCTCGAGCCTGACGCCTGTTCGCTCTGATGTAAAGACCGGCTGGGGGGTGTACTATGTGGGAATAGCAAGCCATCAGCAAATCTACACCCACTCCAAACGGATGAATATTAGCACTTACTTCATCAGTGAACTCCCCTTCACAAGCCTTGCGCAGCAGTGTCAACACGTCCAGAATTGCAAAGACGAGCGGAGCATCGCACATCAAGGATGGGAAGGCAGTAATAAGCCGATTGAGGTACTTCATCGCTAGATCCCGGGTCCTTGCCACGCGATGCGTACTGGCCACCAGGATTAGCCTCAGCTCCGTTGATATCCCTGTACTAAGAGAATGATCTACTATCTTCCTGCTCAGCCCGGCGACGAAGCCTCGCATCACCTGGGGCGGGAAAAGGATTGTTTAGTTGGTTAGGTGCCAAAGCGACACATGGACTCATACATTTTCAGCCATTGCATCCATGCATAGGGCCAATGCGCCGCTTTTATTCAATCCTTCGTTAATAAAGTAGGATATTAAGGGCGCAGGGAGGTCCAGCCGGGAGCGAAGAGACTCGATATCGTGGAGAGTCAAGAGGAATATGATCTGACCAGGCGAGAGATATTTGACGTCGTGCGCACGGAGAGGAATAAGTGTGCTAAGTGCATGTCGATGCTGGATAATGGCCTTTGAAGTAGATACGAACAAAGTTAGGGTTGCTTCGAAATTGAAAGTGAAAAAGAAATGTCCATACCACGTGCAGATAGTCCTGTCTCAGAACAGGATTGTATTCTAAGTCACTCGTGACATAATCGGCCGCACTCTCCTGAACTATGGCAGGCGTTTTACTCGCGATGCGCGTCAGGGCTGCTCGTTGCCAATCGTTCATCGCTGGGTGGTCGTCAGTCGTAAACCTGAATAAGACGCAGATGAACCAGAAGTTTCGGAACAGAGTGACCAGTTCCGACGATGTATTGGTAGACAACTTGAAGTCTGATTGAGATATGAGGGCGTCGATAGGCAGCATCAAAGCACCTAGCTCGTCGAGAAGTTCAGGAGCCTGTACCATTCGTTCGTGATGAGAAAAAAAAATGGTGGATCTCATTGTCTGAGAGACGTAGTGATGCTTACTGGGGTCTGGTCACGACTCGCCGTTGCTCGCGTTTGCACCGCAACTCCCTTGTCTGAGAAGAGACTGAGAAGTTCGGCCAAGTAAGTCTCGTATAGCTCCGGCCTCTTTCCGAGTTCTTGTGCAAGCCTGGTTTGGGCCGCTAAGATCTAAACGTGGCTTTGAGCGATCAATGGTTTTCACTCCAGTCATAGAACACCATTTACCATGTTGCTAGGCAGTTTAGGATCGTGCGGATCTATGACACGTTCGATCACCGAGAAGGCCCTGATGATGTCGGAGAAGACTTTGGCAGGCGCCGCGAGGGCTAAATCTACGAGGTTATACGCAATGGCCGCCTCTACTGCAGGTTCCGCCGACCTCGCGCGCTGCAACAGCATTGATACTGTCAACTTCGTCACGACCTCTAGTTCCAATTCCAATGCGAGCTGAGTAACGACGGATATGGTGCTAATGCCAATGAGCCGCCTCTGGTCCTCGTTAAAGATTCTGAGTCCACTTTCGACAGAAGTGAGGGTCGCGTGGTCAAAGTTATATGGAGATTGCCCGCCTACGCTCCCGGAGCCGGTCCCGGCTTGAGAATGCATGCTCGTGGTAAGGTCTTTGCTCGTGGCAGCGATATAGTTGAGGAGAGAATACATGTTGGACATGACGAGGTCGTCACCTGGAGCTACCTGTCAGGAATCTCCCAAGGTCAGCTGCTGATATGGCGACGCAATCAGGGGAGAGAATAAAACTCACCCTGATGCAGAGTGCTAGGCATTTTGCGGCCGCCATCAATGCTGGAGGAGCCCGGGAGTCTGATGCGAATTCAAACTCAAAGATAGGCAATGGTGCCGTGACGAATCGACGCAGATGTCCGGTCAAGGATGCAGCAATATCCGGGAAGCTAATTTGAAGTTCAGCTTTTCCTGTATCGATATGTTATAGTATATGGTTAAGGCTCACTTGTGGACAAGCACTGTAGTAGCACTTAATGCGGCCTCTTGGACCAGGGTCTCAAACAGCGGTGACGATTCGCTCAAGAGAAGGCGCAAGCGAGCGAATAGTGCGTGGTCCAAATGCCGGAGAGCCACTGAGCACAAAGAAGCCAATTTCTACGCAAATGGCTGATGTTTAGTTACTTGCCGACGTCTCCAGCTGGCAGCTTACCAAACTCTCCGCCATCGTCTCGTATGCGTACGTCTCCATGCTCGGCTCGACATCCATCTCCTCGATCTGAATGAGCAAATCCTCGAAGCACTTCATGGCCGACGCGAGAGTTGTCTTCAACGCTTCTTGTGCTCCTTGTTCGTCCAAGTCCAAATGCACAGCAGTTTCGCCCAGGAGGGATGACCACGCGTCGTTAGCTGCGGCCGCTTCTTCGTATTCTTCGGTCTCCTTGATGCTGAGCTTGATCGAGGGCGAACCAAGAGCAGCGTCTGTTGCGAGGACCTGACCCAGTAGAACCCATTGTATCTCTGTAAGACTGCACACCAGGAAGTACCCGCTCAACGGCCTGTCCGCCTCCACGTATCTTAGAACAAGCGCCAAGACGAATGCTTGAGATGGCGTTGACCCCAATGCCCCAGATGGATCATGATACGCAGTATTATCGGCATCATCATGTCCGTGATCGGTATCAGCGGCCATCTCAAGGTATTCCGTGAGTAAGGCGTTGAGCCTGTCGATAAGGTGGTTCGTAAAGAGCCCCTCAACCTTTTCGGAGAGGTTCCGCCACTCAGAGAGCGACCATGGAAAGGGTGTGCTGATGACAGCGCGGTAGAGGCCGTGGAAGGACGGGCCAACTCGGGTGATCACATCCGCGGCTACGGGATATCATGGGGTTAATAATCATATTCCATGTATCAGGTGTCTTTTCAAAACTCACGACGTTCAGACTCGAGCTGTTTTACGATCGTCAATGAGAAGACAACAATCGCATGCATCACCTTGCTCCGATATTCGAGGTGCGTGGACGTCAGCCTCAATAGAGCGGATACGGTGGAGAATACCAGCTGATCCGGAAGAGCCCATTCTGGATTGGAGGATCATGTCATAATTTGCATCAACACCAGAGTGCAATTGGGATAGCGAGTTTGTACGTACCTTCCCATGCGAGGCTCGACTCAAAATCTATATATGGTATATCCCTCAGAATGTCAACGAGAACCGCAACACTTTTGGAGGCATGCGCAGGAGGTACATTATATGCGAGCTCTCCAAAAGCGATGTTGCAGTGGACTCGCGACGCTGACATGTACACGCGAGTTTCATCCAGCCGCTCATCGACAGAGTTCCATTGACGTTCATCAGCAGCCGCCACCCGGGTTTCTACTCTAGATGATAGAACACCGACGACAGTGTTGACCGATTTTGCCTCTGCGTCGTTTTCGTAGCGGTTGATGCTGGTGTTCGTTGCTTCCGATGAGACACTTTTAGCAAGATCACCGAGAATAAGTTGATGGAGATTAAATTCAAGGCTGAAGGGAAGAAACAGTTGATACGGTCAGTAAGATAAAGGGTGATCTCGTGCATCCTGAGGGCGAACCTATCCATTTGGAATAGAGTTGAACGAACGAGAACGAGAAGACGACACCACTCGGGTTTAACGGATGATCCGCATGGTGCTATAACGTCAGGGATATCTTTGTATCTTGCAGATAGGACCTTGTGTTCTTTGCCCCAGTACCATCTCTTCACCTCAAATAAAAGCTGGCTGGTAAGATACTGTAATTGAATATTCGGTTTCTTAGGTATGAATCGAATCGCAAGTCAGAATTACACGAAGTCGCTTCGCTGTTATGTAGATCCCGGTCAAATGTTGGTTATTTAGAAGGTTAGTCACTTAAAGGCTATAGAATCTGCCCAACTCCTAATCTTGTGATGCAGATTTGGCCGAGTGGTCTAAGGCGGTGGCCTTAAGTTCTATCTTTCTCGAAAGAAGTGACCTCAATCCACTGGAGCAATCCGCATGAGTTCGAACCTCATAGTCTGCAATACTTTTGGCCGAGGGTCGTTACTTTTTCTGCCAGGATCCGCTATCAAATAGTTTTTCATATCAAATCAACCTGAGATATGGGCAACGGTTGTGGAATTTGTGGGTGCTGCTTACGCACCACAGGCTCACAGCCATGTACATAGGTGATGTGCCGAAGTGGAGCTGGCAGCACCGGTATGGTAGCGGGAGGATATTCTAGTTTCCTTAATAAGTGCTCACAAATACGCTTGAGAATGATTCATTGCCTTCTTAAGGTTTATAAACTGCAGCAGGTCGGGGTGGAGGGCCGGGCACAAGCTTGCACATCTCCGTCCCCGCTCTCTTCCTCCTCCCAACCCTCACCCTCATCCACAGGCGACTGTTGACCGATCACGCTCTTCACCATATATTTTCTTCCATACTAGTGTAGAACATATCTTCAGGACATGCCAAGCAACCCACAAGCTCCTGGAGGCCTGTGAGTTATATTTCTTACATGAAGGAAAGCCACCCACTAAACGCCTGTCCCCGTTCAGCACCAAAAAGATTCGCATTACCGGTCAGTATTTATCTAAATAGGCATGGGAACAATATAATTAACTCAGGCCGCCCATTAAAGTTGTCGCGGCGGATGGTCTATCCAAGCGAGACGTATTCCGGCTGCCAGATCCGTTCGCCGTCATCACCGTCGATGCTGAACAGACTCATTCCACTAGCGTGATAAAACGCACACTTAATCCCTACTGGAATGAGAACTTTGACATGTATGCTGTCCGAACGCACTTCTAATTTCTTGTTGGACTGACCTTGTCGGACCTTCCCGTAGCACTGTCAAGGATTCTTCTGTCATTGCGGTACAGATCTTCGATCAGCGCAAGTTCAAGAGACGTGATCAAGGATTCCTGGGTGTGGTCAATGTCCGTGTCTCTGAGGTCATAGATCTGGAACTTGGCGGTCATGGTATGCAGCGGCCATCATGCCCGACGGGCGGTGCAGCTTACTGATAGTGGCTTAATCTTCCAGAGATGTTGACCTTGGATCTGAAGCGATCAAATGACAACCTCGTTGTACACGGAAAGCTTATTATCTACCTCTCTACCAATACCTCCTCGCCCATCACGAATCCTGGCCCGTCACAAGTTCCTGGCGGTGCAAACCCCCTAGCTGGTATCACCAACGGCTTGGGCAACCTTCAAATGAATGAATCCAACGCATCCCTCTCGCCAATCGTTGGTCAGGGGACGGAGCTGAGCGCCTCGTCCTCTATTAACCGCAATTCCAGTGTGTCCGCGTCTATCAACGATCAACAGGTGACGACACCCACTATTTCCATGCCCACGCCTCAAACGACCACACCATCGAGTGAACAGCCCACGATGAACACCTCCAATCGTCCCGTGAGCTCTCACATGACCAGTGGCAACTCGCAGCAGTCGGTTAATCAGCCCGCAGCGGCAACTGCTGCGGCCACGCCTGCGAGTCCTACGACACGCAACTTTGCGGCGACAGAGGACCAACAGGGCCCGTTGCCACAAGGCTGGGAACGCAGGGTCGATCATCTGGGAAGGACCTACTATGTTGATCACAATAGCAGAACTACGACGTGGAACCGACCAAGCACTAGCGCAGCAGTCAATAATAGCGAGCAGCAGCATGAGACTGATGGAGCACGCGCTGGCCACAATCGTCGTATCCTCGCAGATGATCTTCTCGACTCGCAACAAGGGCCTAACATCAATCGTACGACAACGGCGACCCCAGCGGGTACCTCCGCCGCCCCACTAAACGTGGGGTCGGGAACTTCGCAAACCACTCCAGGTGTTGGCTCTCTACCTCCTGGATGGGAAGAGCGACATACGCCTGAAGGTCGTCCATACTATGTTGACCATAACACCCGCACAACAACGTGGGTCGACCCCCGTCGCCAGACTCTGGTGCCAATGATAGGAGGCGGTGGGAACAGACTCACTGTCCAACCCACCACCGTTTCCCAACTCGGCCCATTACCTTCCGGCTGGGAAATGCGTCTCACATCAACCGCCCGTGTATACTTTGTGGACCATAACACAAAAACGACGACATGGGACGATCCACGTTTGCCCTCGACTCTGGATTCAAACGTACCCCAGTACAAGCGCGACTTCCGCAGAAAGCTTATCTACTTCAGGTCCCAGCCCGCCATGCGCGCGCAGCCAGGAAACTGTCAAATCAAAGTTAGGCGTAACCACATCTTCGAAGATAGTTATGCGGAGATCATGCGGCAGAGCGCGAACGACTTGAAGAAGAGGTTGATGATCAAGTTCGAGGGTGAGGATGGTCTTGATTATGGGGGTTTGTCGAGGTGCGTCCGCCCATTGTTCTGCAACTCAGAGGTTGACTGGGATCTGATCGTTGATCGTTTCGCACAGAGAATTCTTCTTCCTCTTGTCACATGAGATGTTCAACCCGTTCTACTGCCTCTTCGAGTACTCCGCGCACGACAACTACACCCTTCAGATCAACCCTGCCTCTGGCGTCAACCCAGAGCATCTGAACTACTTCAAGTTCATCGGGCGCTGTTTAGGCCTCGCCATCTTCCATCGTCGTTTCCTCGATGCTTACTTTATTGTAAGCTTCTACAAGATGATCCTTAGGAAGAAGATCACTCTGTCGGATCTGGAAAGTGTGGACGCGGAGCTGCATCGTGGAATGACCTGGATGCTGTAAGCTGGGAATTATGTTTTGTACAATCCAGAGTGGTCACTAATGGAGCTTTTTGGTGTCTTAGTGAGAACGACATCACGGATGTTATTGACGAGACGTTCACGACGACTGAGGACCGATTTGGCGAGATGGTAACGATCGAGCTAAAGCCTGGAGGGGAGAATGTTCCGGTGACGGAGGAGAACAAGGGGGAATATGTCGAGTGAGCATCCTACCACATGTGCAAGTGTTCGGGCTGTTTTACTCACTAGGCCCTCCAAAGATGTGTAATTGCCTACCGTATCCAAAAGCGGGTCAAGGAACAATTCGATGCGTTCATGTCTGGCTTCAACGAGCTCATCCCTCAAGAACTCATCAACGTGTTCGATGAGCGTGAGCTGGAGCTCCTCATCGGTGGCATGTCCGAAATCGACGTGTAAGTCAGGTTTTCACAACCCCGGGCAGGATTTACTAATAACTCCTTCCTTCTGGATTTTAGGGACGATTGGATGAAGTTCACAGATTACCGCGGGTACGAGATGAACGACCAAGTAGTGCAATGGTTCTGGAAGTGCATCCGGGGTTGGCCCGCCGAGCGCAAGTCCCGATTGTTGCAGTTCGCTACTGGAACATCTAGGATACCGGTAAACGGCTTCAAGGACCTACAGGGTTCGGACGGGCCAAGAAGGTTCACGATAGAAAAGTCGGGGGACCCAAGCCAGCTACCAAAGAGTCATACGTGCTTCAATAGGGTATGCCGGCCATATTTTCCATTTGCTGGATTGTGATTGAGAAATCTATCCCATAGATTGATCTGCCGCCGTATAAGGATTATGAAAGTCTAGAGCATAAGCTGACGTTGGCTGTGGAGGAAACGGTTGGATTCGGGTACGTCTTCGTCGCTTGTACTGTTATATGGTTTTCGCACTCTAATACTCGTCTTCAATCATACAGCCAAGAGTGATCAGCAAATGTGTGCCTACCTCGATTCATATTACCGATATTTGCAGTTGTAGCCCTGTTCCATTCCGTATTTGTCTCGGGCGAAGATTATGCTGTCCCAGACTCTACTTGTGATCACTTTACGCATCAGACCTGTGGACATTTTCTGTCTCCCCGTCTCTGTCCCTCTGTTTTCTCTGTTTCCTGCCTTGTCTATATGGAACTCAATACCACAGTTTGTCTCAACCGTCATGAATTAAAAGCAGCAACTTGTAATAAAGATAAACGGCATGCACATATGTGGGGGAAGAATGCAGGAGGATTGCATGAAAACGCGCGCTATACTTTCTCGAATGTGAAGGCAAGATAGACATCTTGTGATGGCGAAAATGATTATCAGCGAATGGCCTACCACACTGCTGACGGACGAAGGAAATATAGCTCACTGGCAGCTTCCCACTGGTCCTCATCCATGTGACTCTCCCCATTGGAATCGACGACGTTCATTTTCTGAAGGAGCGGGCCGAAATCACGATGTTCCTGGTTATCCTCAAACACCTGATGGAATTCCTGCTTGTACTTCAGAGTGAGACCGTACGTCGACGCAAGCCTGAAACAGTCGAAAAGACCAATTTTAGTAATTGGCGATCCGAAGCCACGTAGAAAAGCGATCTCACTTTTCGAACTCTTCCCAGTGCACGACGTATTCAGGCACGTCGTCAACAGCGTCTTTGAGGAAGAACGAATACCGTTGCCCATACGTCTTCCTTATCCGATCATCAAACCGCACGGTATATACAGTGTTCCCCCAAGACAAGTCTGTTGCATCTGCTGGAATCCTGTTGAGATGTTCCCTAGAAAGAGGCGTTCCCATGTCAAAATTGGGTTTTCTCAAGCGGTGATTGAGGATAAGATACGAACATAAGGAAGTGAGAGTTGGGCACGGTGCCGATGAAGACCCCACCAGGGCGTAGGTACCGAGTGACATTATCAAGCATAATCCGAACCTTGGCCTCGGACTCGAAAGCGTAGTGCATACAGAACTGCAGCGACACGACATCGAAGGACGTTTGAAGCCACTTTGGTGAGAGCCCGTTGGCCAACGGCGACTAAGAGCAAACAGTCAATCGCATTAGTCTCAAATGGATGAGAGGAAAGTATGTCGTGAACAGAAATTGGGTCCATATTCTACGCACCTGGAAACAATCCAAAGTCACGAACTCGCCGTCAAACTGATGCTGATTTCCACCGCGTTTCGTCAAGTCCTGCCAGCGATGGAACGCCTGATTTACAGACTGGCTAGCGAGATCTAGTCCAGCATATGCACTTAACCGGGCCTTGGCCCATTTTTGCAGGTCTCCACCCTTCCCGCAGCCCATGTCGAGCACTTTCCCT